TTGGTTATTTAGGTAAGGATGCACAGTAAGGTAGCAGTTTAGACCCAGTTCTTACACATGGAAACATTCTATTTTTCCAACTTTCTATAGCCTTCTCAGAAAATGATGTATTCCAAATAGCATATTCTTTTTAGCAGCTAAAATTTACCTCTTGAAGTAAAAAATTTCAAGATTTTTAACTTTTGTAATATAGTCCTGGTTTCTTAAATATTACAAATTTAAGGTAATGTAACTTTTATTGTATTGACATGGGGCCATCAATATCAGGGATTATGCAATACTGCAGTAGCTCAGTGATACCCCTCAAAGCCGCTGAGATTCAGGGGGTTGGCCCTTTGTCCCCCAAATAGCCATATTGCTGTGTGCTGTTATTTCCCCGGACCTTTAGCACGCTCCACTTTTGTTCCTCCCTGTGTCCCCATGTTCTGCTGCTTCTAATCCACAGCCTTATTTCTCTCAGAGTAGGCTATGGACTTGGAAATGCTTCTTTTTCCTGGAGATGTTCAGCAAATGGGCTTTGTGACTATAGCCCCAGGGCTCAGAGGCCCTCTTCCTTTACTCCAGCATTCAGGGCTCCGCTGTAGACGGTGGGGGTGCAGGAAGTCAGAGCCTCTCTCTAGGGTGTTACCGGCATTGACCTGGAGCAGAGCCACCCGTCGGGGAAAACGCACGTCGGCCAGTATGAGGACATTACAGGCGATGGGTTCATCATGTGTGTGATAAGGCCAGTGTCCTTTATGTCCTGTCCTCCCTTTAACAGAAGCTACTGCTCTGATTTCTAGTTTCCTAAGTAGCTGATGGTTAGTGGAGCAACCTCAGCTTTCCTTCCTCCGTCTCCAGCAGGAAATTGACCCGTTTTGCCTGAGGTACCACTCCTTGGATGGGCGGGAGATGCCAACACAAAGCCAAAGCAAAGGACTGGCCGCCCAACTCCTGAGCACTTGGGAGGATGCTTTGGTATCCCTCATCACACGTGTGATTTCTTCGTTAATGCCCATCCGCCCCATGAGACTGTGAGCTCTGAGCTCCAACAAGTAGGGGACAATGTCTCTTCTCCCTGTGGCCCCAGCCCCGGCAAAGTGTCCGACACGCAGTGGACACTCAGAGCATAGCCACTGGGTTAAGTTTGTGAGGGCCCCTCATTGACTCTCTCATCTGAACAGCCCTGTGAGAATTTTCAGGAGACAGAGGGATATTTCAGGTGTGGTGTTTGTGGTTTTCAGGATGGCAGAGTTTGTGTTCTCCCCTGCAGGGCTGGTGGGAAGTCTGTGCCATTTGCCTGGTTTTGGGTCTGGGTTGCAGTCCTGTCACTAGGTGGCTACCCTGTGCTCAGCACTCTCCTTGCCACTTCGTGCGAGCCAAGAACAGTTTATGTTCTAGGTAGGGGGGCAGTGGCATCCCTGTGGGTGGAGCGTGGTAAGGGCTCATAAGGCTTCTGGAATTCAGAGGACAGAGAGACGGATGGAGACAGAGGTAAGACTAGGATCCCACAGTAGAGTCTTGGGTGACCCGGTGTCTTACCTCTCTGCCTGTCTTTGTAGGACCATTAATTGTACAGTGTTCCATACTGCTTTCTTGGGTGTACTGACACTTCTCCATCCTGGTCCTTTCTGGAGAGACAGCTGCAGGCTGGACCAAGTAGATACCGGGCATCTTCCTGCCTTGGTTGCTTCTTTTCCGGTCTCATTTTGCCATGTCATCATTTGCCTCTTCCAGCTCCAATATTCCAGCTTTCCTCACAAGCCCTTTCCCCCTGTCTAGCTTCTCAGGCCTCCAACCTCCCTTTCCCTACACGCCTGCTGCCCACGTGAGCATGGACTGCCTAGGTGGGAGTCTTTTCACCTCTCCTCCTATGCGCTTTTCCCTACAAACTACCTCCATGACCCATCACTTCTGAGCCAGACTTTGCATTTTCCAAGGTGAGAGTGAATTTTTTAGTACATTTATCTGCTTGTCAAACATTTACCTTCTATAATCACCTGTGATAGGCTCTCTAGAGAAGTAACATAGTGAAGATTCACCTTCCCAGGTTAGAACGTTCTGTTGGACAATGTTAAAAAAAGGGAGGGGGCACCTGGCTGGCTCATTCAGTAGAACACGTGACTCTTGATCTTGGGGTTGTGAGTTCGAGTGCACATTGGGTGTAGAGATTATTTAAAAATAGAATCTTAAATGCCAACAGAATGTTCTTTTTTAAAAATCTTTTCCTGAGAATCTCTTAAGACTTTCTAATAAATAAGATAAAAGGTTTTGAGACTTAAGTTGAGCCCTACTACTGTTAAAAAATTATATAATTTATATATATATATATTTTATATATAAAGAGGGGAGATAGTAGATGACCCTAATACCTCAGGTGGAGAAGGACCTTATGGCATAGGAGAAAATTTACATTCCTATCCATCCTGACCTTGGACATCGACTCATGGTTGTTGGGAGTAAGACATTGGGAGGTATCATTCAATGTCCTCTTGTCTAGCTCTGGGAATGCTTTGCTCACCTTCAGACAGAGTTGTGCATGGAGAATATCAGATTTCCTTGGGAGGTGGGAGCTGTTAACACTGGTGAATGAAGAAGTTTCTCCTTCTGTGATTAGAGACAGGAGCAAAAACTGAGAGAGAGGACAGATGGAGAGAACTGGGTCTGACGGGGCAGGGCCCTGGTCTCCAGCTGCTAGTAGCAGTGAGCTCTGTGGCCTTGGCTTCCACCAGTGGTAGCAGCCAGGAGTTACAAAGGAGGACTATCAACCCCTCAGGCAGTGGAGTCAAGGGACATGTTTGGGAACGGTGGGGACTCCATGGGGAGTTTGGACTTCCAGGAACGACTATGGTGGCGAATCAGGACTCAAAGACTAATTATAGTTGTGCCTTAATTGTTTCCCCAAACTTGATGGGTACAGAACACAAAGATCAGGTAAAGAAGAACCAACTGTGGCCCTTGCTCTCAGAGAGGATCACATTGTGATGGGGTGGGTGAAGACATGAATGCATACACACGTGATACAGAGGAGTGAACAGAGTTGGGGTGATGGGTAAGGAGAGAAAGTGTTGAGCGTGAGCTGAGTATGGGATTGGCCAACCTTAGTGAATCTGAAAGGGAAAAGTAGTGTTGAGACCTCCTTGGAAGTCAAGTAAAGTGATCGATGATGTTTGTTTCTTTCTGTGGCATAAATGCTCTCAATAATGCCGATGAGGAGATGAGCACTGAACCTTCTTCATTCATCCTGACCAGATAAGATCATTCGTTTCCTAGATCATTTTCTTACTTGTTTATACTGAATTTTTCCACCCTGGTCTTTTCTAGCCAGCAGAGAGGTAAATGCTAATGGAATTAGGGAATTAAACTTAGCTGGGTTCAAGTAAAATAGCTGTCCAAGGGGGTTGGTACCATGACCACTGCTCAGGACACCCTGATTCCGTAAAGTTGGCATCAGCATATGAGGTGCAGAATCCCTGAAGAGCAGTGATGGCAGGGTTACATGGATAACTAGGCACAACCCTGCTGCTCTCCCACGTGAGAAATCTGAGGTCCAGAGAAGATAAGATCTTGATCAAATTCAGAGTTGCAGAACCAGGAAAAGAATCCATGTCCTTCAAATGCTAGGTCAGGGTGTCAGCTCTTCTGCAGTGTGACCTCAAAATACAATAATTCTCCAGCTGGACTGGACTAAAGCACTTGACTCTAGAAGTCCCTTATAAAATATAACATAAAGCCATGCATTAAGCTCTAATCATTAATAATGCTTTGATGTGGATGGTGATAGCCTTCTCTTAAATCAACCAGGCCAATAGGAGAGGATTAAAGACTAATTGCTCCCATCCCTGCTACTGGTAAAAAAAAAACAAAACAAAAAAAACCCTTCCACTTCTTTCCTCCTCCTGCTCTGCCCTAAATCACGTGCTCACCTTGGTCAAGGTCTTTTTTTTTTCTTTTAATGATCAGCCTAGAAGAATGCCATGTTGGCTTTCCTGTTTGGGCCAGGTCAGGATTTCCTATAGACAAGGCAGAGCTTTGGGCCCTTCCAGTGTTTTTTAGTTGCCGTTTCTGTGATGGCAGTGAAATTGAAGATGTTTCAGAATAAATCTCACAATCTCTCACTCCCTCTTCACACCTAGGAGATCAGGAGTGGAGGAGGGAAAGCTGTGTAACATTCCTCCCATCAGCTAATGGGGTCACTGATGACCAACATGATAAATGCCTCTAGAAAAACTGACATGAAGTAAATGTATTTTCTTTGTTTTAAAACTCCATTGTAGAGTTTTATAAGTGGCATGCTTTATCTGGTAATTCAAAAAACTCTTGAGGTTCCATTATTCTTCTGTGCGGGACATGCATCATGTGCTTTGCCACCAGCTGGGTGAAAAATGAGAAGTTGTGATCAGATCTCACCACTGAACACAGACCCACTGCCTGGGCTAAGTCTTTCCCTTTCCTTTTCTTCCATATCTTATCACTGAATTATGGGCTCTTCAAACTGGTCAATTAAAGACCCTAAACATACAGCTCTGATCACCTTTCTTCCCTACTCAAAACAGTGCTGAATGGCTATAGCAGTGGTTCCCAAAGAGTGGTCCCTGGACCAGCAGCCTCGGCATCACCTGGGGGCTTGCTAGAAATCAAATTCTTGGACCCTGCCGAGGCCCACTGCATCAAACTCTGTCGGAAGGGCACCACAAGCCCTGCGGGTGATTTTGACTAGCACATTTGACCAGCACTGGACTACAGCATTAAGTGTTCTCTAGATCTTGCCATTGAGGGACTTCACAGCATCGCCCCAAGCCACCTGTTCAGCCCACCAGTGCTTCTCTGTGCACTCTGTGCTCTGGTTATGCAGAAGAGACCCTTCATTTTCATGCCTTTCTGCCTTTGTTCAGATGCCTCCTCTGCCTGGAATGCTCTCCCCTACCTTTCCCTGTGTGTCTGTCCAATTCTTCACCTAAAGTTTTGCCTGCTGTAAATGCAGGCAGGTACATTTCTGATGACGAATGTTTTAATTTTAGAAGCCAAGATGGTGATCTCCAGTTACCCTGAGGTCTTACTGATCACCCTAATAACCCCAGCAGCCCTGAAGGGCTTCTCCAGGTGACCATTTGCAAGCATCCTCTAATCAGCATGTAAGTTAACTAACATTTGCACACTGTTTTCCTTCTGGGAGCCTCCAAAGGCAAGTGTTGTGACAGAAAAGGGGATGATTCAGTTCAGACCTGATGGGAAAACAGGATATAAAATCCAGTAGCACTGATGTGAACAATGAACAAAAATGGCGACCTATATTTAAATGACATGAGCCTTGATAATTAGCACTTGCAGTATCTAGCCTCCCAAGATGAATGCATCCTCAGGATGTGAAACTCATTCTAATAATTTAGGCACTGGAAAATACTGGTAGGCTTGTAGAAAGTATATACTGTAAGCACATGATGTCCTTAGCAATGTATTCACTTCTGCCATGTTCCATGTGCCAAAATGACCACCTTCATTATGAAAACCCACAAATTTTAACTAATAGTCCTCAACTCTCAGCTAGTGTCCATAGGGCATTGATCAAAATGGTGTCTACCAACGTGGTCCCTACCATCTTTGGGATGTCACTCAGGTCTGTAACCATGTGCATTTGTGGGGCAACCAGGCAACCTCTTAGTACAAATGGATGATAATGACTAGTATGTCTTCCTTCCTCTGTAGCCTCTGTTGGGAAGATTAATTGGATCGTAGCTCCCCTGCAAATGGCAAAGTTTGGTGTAAATATCAGTTAATACTATTTTGATCATCCACTCCCTGGCTGCCTCCAAAGCCAGAGCCTTCAGTTCTGCTTGACAAATGGAGAAATCCTTCTTCCTATAGGTAAGCCATGAATATTGGCTAGTCCTGGATTGTGACCATAGATGACTGGGGCTTGGTTGAAAATAAGCACTAGCTTTTAGTGAGATATAGGAATTAGGATGTGGAAGGAGTTAGAGCACCTTTGGTTCAAAGTACCCATTTTCCCAGTGTCGTCCTTGGGCTGGTCTCTGTTCACAGAATTGTGGGCTTTTTGAATTGGAGGGGGCCGTGGAGGTGAGCTAGCCTAACTTTTCACATTTTTCAAAAGCCCACGCCACAGTATTCCCTACAGACGTCATCTAGCTCTTTTTTTTTTTTTAAAGATTTTATTTATTTATTTGACGGAGAGAGACACAGCGAGAGCAGGAACACAAGCGGGGGGAGTGGGAGAAGGAGAAGCAAGCTTCCCACGGAGCAGGGAGCCCAATGCAGGGCTCGACCCCAGGACGCTGGGATCATGACCTGAGCCGAAGGCAGACGCTTAACGACTGAGCCACCCAGGCGCCCCCGTCATCTAGCTCTTGCTTGAACATCTCCAGAGCTGGGTGGGCTCATCATCTCAAGAGCTCATTGCTTTGTTAGATATTTGCAGTTGTTGGAACATTCTTTCAACTTTTGAACCAAAATCTGCTTTCATTTTACTTCCAACTATTGGTCTTCGTTCTCAACTCTGGCAGACACACAGAAGGCTGCCCTTCTTGATATGGCAGAGCTTCTTGAAAACATAATGCACAGCCAGCATGCTTCCATCAGAGTTTCTCTTCTCTGAACTAAGCATCCCCTGGTCTTGTAACTGTCCTTTGTTGATGTGGTTTCCAGAACCACCTCACAATCTTGGTTTTCTCCTTTGGACGAAGAGCATGAATGTTCACAATGTGATTGTTAGAGTAATAAGGAATTGGCAGGGGGCAGCTAGGTCTTCCACGGTCTTATAATAAGGCAAACTTTGCTCTGAATAGTGCCCCCTCCGCCTGGCACCCTTACTTCAGCACACATCTATAAAAATTCAAAAAGGAACCCAGTGATAACAGACTCTCCAAGGAACCAACACAGTGATGTCAGGCTCTGGTGATACCATATGTCATCCGGAGTGAATTCATTTAGCATAGTTCCTGCTGATCATCTCTTTATCCAAAGTGATAGAATTTCTTCCTGGTAATTGTAGAGAAATGTTTAAGTGGCAGACAGTATGGAAATTGGATGCAGTGATAGAGTGCACAGAGGGGCAGATCTAAGTTCACATATGGCTCTGCCAGTTCAGCAGAGCATCTCCGAGTCTTTGTTTTCTCATGTATAAGATGGGGATCATTCCTGATGTGAGGATGTGATGTGATTCCTGAAGTTGATGTGAGGGCTAAATACAATGATATTTTCAAAGCAGAGCCTGGCTCACAGCAGGTGCTTATGAGTGTCTTCTGATGTTCTTAGTACAGGGACTTTTTATTGGGTTTTGGCCCCCCTTTCTCTAAAGCAGCCCAAGTAAAGGTGTTTGAGACATTCTGGTGTGGTGATGAGAGTGCTGAGGAATCTAGGGCAAGGGGTGCAAGATTCTTTTTGTCCAAGGGCCACTTGTAATTTCTTTACATTTAAATAGCCACATGTCTGGTGACTTCCTTATTGAACATAATAACCTTGGAGCATGTGAATTAGGATTGTGGCAAATAAGATCAAGCCTGGTCCGTGGACTGAGTGAGAGACTATTGGCAGTAGGACACATTTCAAGTTTTGCAGTAGGAGAATATCAAGAACAAAAATGTGGAGAATACCAAGAGGATGCACAGCGGACACCCTTGTGTAGGGTACTCAGGGATTTCAGCTTTGTGGGTCAGATAGTCTCGGTCACAATTACTCAGCTCTGCCGTTGTAGTGTGAAAGCTGCCATAGACAATGCATATGAATGCGTGTGACTGTGTTGCAGTAAAGCTTTACGTATTTACAAAACAAGCAGCAGGCTGGCTTTGACCCCTTGGTCGTCATTGGCCAACCCTGGGCCTAATGTCTTCTCTCCTTTTCTTTCTTTTCTCTTCTTGTCTTTCCTCATCTTGTCTATTTCTTCTTTCTTGTAGTAAGAACACTTAACATGAGGTCTACCCTGCTGACAAATGTTGAAGGGCATTATATGCAGAATTGTTAACTATTGTCACAGTGTTGTACAGCAGATCTCTAGAACTCACTCGACTTGCATAACTGAAATTTTATAGCCATCGAACAGCGACTACCTGTTTCACCACCTCCCAGCCCCTGGCAACCACCATCCTACTCTCTGCTTCTATGAGTTTGGCTATTTTAGGCACCTCATATTAAGTAGAATTGTGCAATATTTGCCTTTCTGTGGCTGGTTTATTTCACTTAGCATCATGTCCTCGGGTTTACCCGTGTCGTTGCATATGGCAGGACTTCCTTCTTTTTTAAAGCTGAAAAAATACTCCACTGTATGTATATAGCACGTTCTCTATATCCTGTCATACACTGATGAACATTTGAACATTTGGATTGTTTCCACAACTTGGCTGCTGTGAATAATACTGCAGCGAACATGGGAGTGCAAATACCTCTTCGAGATCCTGATTTCAATGCTTTTGGATAACTAGAAGTGGGATTGCTGGATCATACGGTAGTTCAGTTTTCAGTTTTCTGAGGAACTTTCATACCGTTTTCCATAGCAGCTATAACATTTTACATTCAGTGTACAAGAATGTCAACTTCTCCACATCCTTGCAAACATTTATTCTTTCTTTTTTGATATTAGCCATTCTAACAACTGTGAGGTGGTTAGAGCCTTATTTTCTGATCTCTGCCCTGGGGACCTGCTTCTGTTTCATTTGTCTTTCCAGAAGCATCTCTCTCCTATCCCAAGGGGCTCTAGGATCCTCTTGGGGCTCGCTGGGCATACAGCCCCAAAATGTGTGTGAAGACTTGCTTCAAATTTTGTAGCTCCTGGAGGGGCAGGAGCTATCCTGTAGAGAGAATGTGTATAAAATTTAGAGCAGACCCACTGGAGGTTTCGTTATCACTGGGGGCAAAGTACTTACGTCCTGTGTTTTCATTTAAACCCTCTGTTACGTATGCAGAGTGTCTTGATTATGCTTCCATGACATCCCTTACTCTGGCTTTGTATACTTGTGTGGTAGTTTAATATCTCCCTTCCTCCCGCTCTGTGAAGGTAGGGCCATGTTAGAATTGCTGTCCATGGCTATATCCCTAGCATCTAGCAGAGGGAACAACACAAGGTACACACTCAACAAATACTCAAGTTCAGCCTCTCATCCACAGAATTTTTTCAGACAACATTTGCTAGACTTTGTCATCCTAACATGGTGGGGACAAGTTCATGGACACCAGGCCTGAAAAATAAGACGTATATTATAGGCATGGTCTTGACCAAAGGCCTACAATCTCAGGCCTCAGAAGTTGTCTTGGTGGGGCGCCTGGGTGGCTCAGTTGTTAAGCGTCTGCCTTCGGCTCAGGTCATGATCCCAGAGTCCTGGGATCAAGCCCCGCATCAGGCTCCCTGCTCCGTGGGAAGCCTGCTTCTCCCTCTCCCACTCCCACTGCTTGTGTTCCCTCTCTCGCTGTGTCTCTCTCTGTCAAATGAATAAATAAAATCTTAAAAAAAAAAAAAAAAGAAGTTGTCTTGGTAACTATCACTGACACAACTTCTGTTTACCCAACTGGCAGGCATTTCTTGGAGGGAAGTCACATTAATAACTTAAGGAACAGTTCCTTTGAAACTTGGTAGTTCATTTAATATTTTCTTGGAGAAAGGAACTTTTAGAATTTTTGTGTGTGGTGTGCCTTTTTCTGATCCTTAAATTGAATTTTGTTAACTAAGTTTTGGAAGGCTTTTCATTTTGTAAATATTAACCACAGCAGAAGAAGCATAAATGCTGAATCCCGCGTTCACAAACCAGTCATGGAAGTACAGGCTTTTGAGCAGTCCCAGGGTGGACAGAGCTGGCTGACCTCCACAAGACAGGCAGCAAAAATGCTTGGCAGGCAAGCTGCTGCCTTGCTCACCCCCAGGAGGATACAAAGCTCTGGGTTATCCATAGGTTACCCATCAGGGGTAAATGAGGTGAGAGGAAGGGGGTGGGTGAGTGGGGAGAGAGGTTCATGACCTGACTCTTTCCCGTGACTTTGTCATTCCAGCCACCTAGTGACCTCAGTGGGTCTCAGTGGAGGGCAGATCCCAGGCTGCTGCCCCTTCTTCCCTACTACAGCCACGCTGAAGGCCCATTCAGTTACTGTGGCCTTTGCTACCATAATTTGACTGAATAACTCTAGTCCTTACCTTGTCCCATGAAGTCTTATAGGTTTGAATAGGAGCTCAGTGTGGTTTCCTCCTCTTCTCCCTTCCCCTTTGTCTGGGTACTATAGTGGTTGAATAGTGACCCCCCAAAAAGATATGTTCAAGTCCTAACCCTTGGAACCTGTGAAAGTGACCTTATTTAGAAGAAAGATTTCTGTGGATGTAATGTAAGGACTTTGAGATGGGATAATCCTGGACTCGGATTGGCCTTAGGTCCAATGACAAGTGTCCTTAAAAGAAGAGGCAAGGACACATAGACACAAAGGAAAAGGTTATGAAGTTGGGGGTAGGAATTATAGTGACAGAGCCACAAGCCATAGAATAACAAAGGTAGCCTCTAGTGAAGGCATGACATAGATTCTCTGTCAGAGCCTCCAGAAGAAACCAACCCTGCCAACACCTTGATTTTGGACTTCTGGCCTCCCCAAGTGTGCACAAACAAACGTCTCTTTGTTGTTGTTGTTTGTTTGTTTTTTGAGAGAGACACACAGAGAGAGAATCGAAAGCAGACTCCATGCCCAGGACATGAGCCCGACATGGGGCTCAATCCCACAACCCTGAGGTCATGAGTCGGATGCTTAACCGACTGAGCCACCCAGGCACCCCCAAATGCCTCTTGTTTGAAGTCACCCAGTTATGGGAGCTTGTTATGGCAGCCCTAGGAAACCAAGGCAAGTGGTGATGTGACTGTGGTTTGGAAAAGACT